AGGTCCTTCATTCATATATATATTTATATCTATATTTGTGTTTCTAAATATATCCCTATATAGAAAACGTGTTTGTTTACATACCATCTTGCATATCTACCTTTGTGCATATTTACATAAATATATAGATATCACTAAATCTATATATACATACATGTACAGGGCAGCAGGGACAGATGAAGAAAGGAAAGAGAGTGTTAACAAAAGATGAAAAGAAATAGTTTTTTTTTTCAATGAGCCTTGTATAACAATACAGGTGTTTCAATGAAGTGTTGTAAATGCTTCCAACATACTAACAATATTTTATTTATTTTTGGCCTCCTCTAAAAGTAAGACCAGTCTGGATTTAATAACTATTCCTAGTTTTAGTAACATCCGACTGCAAATGCAAAGCTTCTTGCATTGTACATGTAAGAACAGTTGTGGCCTAACCCAATCACATTTTTCTTGCCAGCCAGCTTTGTTATTTTTCTGTCATTCACTTGTGTGTCCATCTCTGGTTTCTTGAATGTTTCCCTTCTCTATCCTCACTTCTTATAAGTCGTTCTTTCTGCTGCACCTTCTTCCCTTCGTTCATCCTCTATTTTATTATTTAACTGTTTTATGTAGCAGATCAATGTCTTGTAGCAACCAAGGAAATTCAAAAACTTTTCCTGAGTTTTCAAAATTCTAAAAATAAGAACAGAAAGAAGAATTAAATAATAAAAAAAGAAAGGTGCTGGTAGTATTTTTTTAACAGGTATAAAATAAACTGTCTGAAGAACTTTAATACAATGTCAGATCATAAAGCATATATTTTATAAGTATGTAAATCATTTACAGCACATTTCTGTATAAAAATAGTTTATATTTATTTATGTAAAAAAAGTTCAAATAGTTTAAAATAATAGTTTTATGTATAAATAATCCTATCATATAAAGAAATTGACATGTTTAAATACAAAATAATTCCTGACAAATTTTTAATTTTCAATATGTCAGCTCTGTTTCTGTTCACCATTATATGAAAAAGTTATAGATTGCTGTTAAAAAATCTATTTCTTTTATTCTTCTAAAATCAATAAAAATACTGAGAAGAATGTCTGAATAGGAAAAACTTGTTGTCACTTGATTTCCAGTCGAAGACATTGCTTGCTACAAGTGTCAAAAATGCAACAAGTATAATAACCATCTACTAATAGAAAATTGTACTCTGCTTTTCCTACCAATGCCAATATACTGAGGATGAAGCCGGGGGGGGGGTAGTATATGCCAATGACATAAATATTCATAGTTAGATTAAAATTGATCTTGAACAACAAAAAAAATCAACAATCTCTCAGAAGTGTTCCAAGAAATAGAACTCAAGATAAACCAAAAGAGAAACTATGATCTGGAACTTGAATAAAAATAACTGTGACATATACACTAAATCCCTCATAAAATTCAGGATGAGAAATTAGTAAATACTAAACACTTCAAATACCTTGGTTTATGAATCTGTTATAAAAAATTTAGTATACGAGGTAAGGAAATTGAAAACAGAATAGGCTGTGTTATTAATAGTTACAAGTTGGAACAAAATCAAATTGTCACTCTGAAAACGCAATCATTTTTTTAAACGGCTTTGCCAGATCAAGACTTTCATGTGGATGTCATGCTTTCTGCCAAACTTGTTCAAAAATAACTAAGCTGTCAGCTGTATACAACTGCTTTCTTAATTTAATGATTAAAAATGTCTTTAAGTGCATGAAGCCTTTAGGGTTTAGCAAGAGTAATCCTTCTTTGAAACTTGTGGAGTGGTGTTACAGAATCACAAAGAACTATACCAAATACCAGAAACCACATCACTTGAGGAATTACAACAGCAGCAGCAACTAAAATAGATAGTACATGTAACTTGAAACAAAAGTAATGATATAATCAGATGTTGACATTCCATACTACTTCAACCAAATTTAGAAATTAAGCCCCCATCAATGATACCAAGAGTAATAATGATAAATGAAATTGAGAAAACCATTTTTCTGAAAAATTGTTTTAATAGAAAGATTTTATAAATTTCAACCAAAAGTAGCACTGGCTGCTCACTCATTGAATTCCAAATATTTCCTTATAAGGCTAATAGTACTATTAGGATTGTAATGATCTGAGATCTCTATGTTTGTATATTTGCTAATTAAAAAAGAAAATTTACTAAGATGAAAATGTTTAGAAAGTGCTTAATCACAAGTTCATCCACAGTAAATTTGCATTCAGATTCTTACAGCATTTCTATTCTTAGTAGATCTTCTTTTATCACACTGTAGGATATTTAATAACTAAGATGATAGAAACAAAAAGAAAAAAAAATTAAATGAAATTGGTTATATACCCAAAACACATAAAAAACAATTTTTTTAAATTTAAAATTCTCAGTGTCTCTTGTTCAGGCGCACATGTAGTCACATCAATGCAAACAAACTTAGTCCAGTGAAGTCCTAAAGAAGAAAATGCATCACACAAAAACTTTTCCCACCTTGTCATATGTCTTTCCTTCAATGTTTGATAATGTAACACAGTAAAATTAAAACATTGCAGCACATTTTTTCTTAGCACAATGCTACTAAAATCCTGTTACTTTGAAAATAAAGCAATTTTCAGTTGATTATTTTTTCTCCCAATTTTTAATTAAGTATAAAATGATAATAAAGACCTCTCCCAGGAAGATAACTCTTGGCCTGTTAACTGCTAATGACTTAGTCATTCTCTTAATAAGAAAGGATAAGCAAAGGAAAATCCTTGATGTGTATTCACCCCTCACTATCAACCATATTGGCATACCAGTGACAATACTTTTATAATAACTGAAAATAATAATTAAGCTTACTGATAATTAATATTTTCAATTATATTATAAATTTTACAAATAGGAAAATAGCTTCACACTGAGCTTAAGCATCATTTATGTCAATGATGATAATAATAACAATAATAATAATAATAATAATAATAACTGGTGCAGACACAATATGTAGATTACATAAATGACATGCTGAGGCTATTGACCACTTATCAGTGTCTAACTGTCCAATCCTGATACCAAAGTAATATAAAGAGTGACAAGATATGTCAATATTATAATGTGCCACATGCTGAAAGATGACATGAATATCATCATGAATCAGTCATAGAAAGCTATAAGGTGATTATCCTTTAGGACATTACCATTAATATTGACAGATGTATCAACATTTATGGGCCAAAAATAGGACCTTCTGTACCTTCATGTTTCCAGCTAATGAGGTGTTCAGATGCAACTTTTTTGATAAGCCTTACTTCTGAGCCTAACAATGGCAACACTATGTCTGATTCAGGATAATAAAAAAGGTATGTACTGAAAAAAAGAGTTGAGAAAAGAATTCCTTCTTGAAATTATTTTCAACCAGAAAGGCCAAAATTTGAAGCCTGAAACAGATTTGAAAAGCATTAGTTGTCAGCTAGTTTAATTACTATTCATTATGATTCTATCTGTGAGTGAGTAGTCAGGAAATATGAGTCAGCAGAACAATTAACCTAAACAGAGTTAAGAAAAGAGGATGCTAGATTCTGAGATACTCCATGACCTATAAAGAACTCTGGGAGAAGATATAAAACATTATAAACATAATTTTGAACATGTTTGTCTGAAAGAAACCATAACCAAACCAGGTTTTTTTTAAAAAAATGTGAAGACAACTACTGTAGCAGTAGTAGTAATAGTAGTTCATTTCAAAAATGGATTATTGGGAATTGAATAATAATTTTCAGAATTATAAAGCTTTTTGTCATATTTCAATGTACAAAATTTTTATTTTCTTGGGGTCACCTTTAATGATTTTTAACATTAAAAATGTTATTCTGAAGTTTTTGTTCTTATTTAGTTTATTTGATAGTGTCTGTATCTTTAGATTGTAGACGGTAGCAATTAAATAAATTTTATTCAATTAAATGTCAGAATTCAACTTTGAATTCTATTAATGCTTAAATCTTTCAAGTCATATATTCCCACTGAGAATATAAAATGAATTTCCAAGCAGTTCATCTAGAGCACACATATTTTCACTGAGCCAGTTGTTGCATAGTTTTAAATTGTGACAAAGTAGTAAGTGTATCTTTTATATATGATATGCTGTTTTACATAAAAATGATGAATATTAAAGAGTTTTTTTTTTTTCAGTGAAATACTCAATAATAATAATTATTATTGTAATATTTTAAAACATTACACTAAAATGTTAAATATTCCATCTGTGTAGTTTTCTCTAAAGATAATGTTAAAAACCCATTGGTTTTGTAATAAGTTACAGTACACTGTGTGTATGAAACTTCTCAGCAAAAAATAAAGGTTTTTATTCTCTAGATTTAAAAAATATGTGCTGGTAACTTTTGCACGTGCCAAATGATCTTTAGGTTCAAGCACTTTTAGCTAATATGTTAGCCATTATCAAGAATGTTTTTCTTTGTCTTAATATGTAAATTTTGATAGTAATTTTTTTCACAATAGAAATGTTTTAATTCTTGAACACGGTCAGCACATTTTGGCCATGTTTATAATTAATATTATTAAGTGGTTTATTATTAGTAAAACATTTCTATTGCTAAAATAAAACTACCGTCACACTCTACATATTAAGAGAAATAAAAATCCTTGATAAAGGCTGCAAGTGCTTAAACTCAAAGATCCTCTGGACAATTGTTACAAACTTTGTTATAAAAAGAAATCTCTTGTACACATACAAGAAAAATATAATAAAAATGTAATTACAGTGCCTTGTCAGTCATATTTTTTGTATAATAATGTTCACTCTTTACAAGGCTCAAGAGCCACTCGAGTTAGAGATTTATAGATTAAGAGGCACATTTTGTAGAGATATGTGGGGAAGTTAATGGTTAATGCTGGTCTTAGACAGGTTAAGATTGTAGTGATCGAGAAGCATATTTATTTATATAATATATAATATTTATTTTTTTATTAGTTCAGACTATATTCCTGGGCTCAAGGCCACATCATGTTGAAACACCGGTTCTCATATGACCACTGAAGTTAAGCAACATCATGCCTGGTCAATACCTAGATGGGTAACCATTTGGGAATACCAGTTGCTATAAGCTTGGATGTGCAGGTGGGGTACTGGATAATAGTTTGGAATTTTTAATATGAGAGCTGAGTTCCAATTCCTGTTAGGCTCCTTATATTCACTTATGTGTAAATACCCTTCAGAAAGGTTCTTCTCCCTCCCACTATGGATTAATTAGTAAGACTTGTAGCACTAAACCATTGTTATCTAAAAAAAAAAAATTCTTACAATCTAAAAAGTTTTCTGGCTTTAAATAATCTGCAAAGGGTTGATAAGCCATAGAAAATGAATCAATCCATTTTCCTGGTTTCCATCAGGGCTGTGTCATTTGACTGAATATCTATAAATTTTCATGGATTGTTCAGAATATCATTTCATATTCCAACTGAATTTCTACTTTTTGGGCAGATTCCTGTACTATTTGCTGTTTGGGGTGCAGCTAATCAAACAGGGTCATTGCTTATCAAATAACATCAAACAATGATGATTTTTTAACTCTTAAGTGAATTAGGCTTTTTTGAAAGGCTACTTTCATAGTATGGCCAAGCTTATTATATGTGTTGTGTACAGAGTCAGTTGTAGATATGTTTTAAAGGATTTAAAAAAAAATTTTTTTTATTAATTCCTAGAAAATAGAATGAATGAATTCATTTTTATCTGTTGCATTCCATGTTGCCACTGGTTTCAGTCCTTCAGCCCCCAATGCCACTTCACAGACTGTATTAACAAAAGACTGTTTCTTTTTCTTACTCATTATATGAGAGGAACATGTGGTCGCATCAATTGTAAGAAGTAGCAGGAGGAAAACTTTGTAGGAATGAATGACCACTTGCTGGCTTAGTGGCCTTAGCCTTTCTATGCTATCCAGGGACAGAAAGTGTGTCAATACCAGAAAATTCTTGTGATCCTTTCTTGACTTTATTTTTTGTCTCGTATCCAAAATTTAGACAAAGGCAATCCATCGCTGTCAGTAATCCATGCCCATAAAGTATTTTGTCCTCTCACTTGCCATCCTGACCCAGTCTCTGGATTCTGTAACATAATAATATTCTTGGTAAATGCAAATTTTTTTTTTTTTATTAAAAATAGGGTAAAAGTCTAGAATAGTGTACATGCACATGTGCAAGATGAAAATTAAAGAACTTTTATTACCCATCAATGATTAAGAATTTATTTTTTATTTTTTGAAAACAAACAAGTTGATAGTATCTCATAGTGAACGTCAAATTTACAGTGAAAACAGAAAAAAAGACATAAAAACTAGAATGTTATTTGAAAATTCAGAAGTGAAATTATTAAAAATCATCAATAGAAGTATATTTGCAAATATATATTCAGAAAAATAATTCACAAATGAATTTGATAATTTAATCACAAATGTAATTGAAATGTATAAATTTTAAATTGATAATTTTGCACATGTTTGTCTGGACCCTATTCTCAGTTCTTACCAAATGTAACTCAAATAGATTTTTATTAAATGATGAATTATTAAATAAACTAAAACAAAGCTTAATAATGACTGTCAACTCATTTTATTGTAGAAAAGCCAATATCATTAATGTTTGTTATTTTTGTCACACATTAGAAGCTAGAAATATAGAATTAAGTGAAAACTGTCCTGATTCAAACCTACAACTTTAATGTAAGCAAGAGAGCAACATAACACAATCCCAGTATTTTGATGCTGAAATATTTGGGTGAAATATTAAATTAGCCTATTTTTTTTTAATTCTTAACATTAATTATTTTTAACAATAATATTTAATAATTTCTAATAAGTTTTTAACAATAATTTTTAAATTATTTTATTAATTTTTGAACCCTTAATATTTATTTTTTCAAACAATATTGATGTGTTAAAAACACATTTAAAATGCTGAAAACTAAATTTAGCATCTCATATGAATTATAATTACATTTCATTTTAACAAAGCAGTGGGATTAAAAAATTTTTGTCATATAAACTTAAAGAATTTCTGTTGTAATTCAAAAATTTAATGATAACAATTTAAAATGTAAACACTTTTAAAACTTAAATTAAAAATATGTTTTAATTTTTTTACATTCTTTGAAACCAGTATCTTTTGTTAATTTTTTTTTATTTAAAACATATCTCATAGAAATTAAAATATATATATAATTTTTTCATGCATTATAAATAGTTATCTGTAAATTTTATAAGAACTTCATAGTTGCTTAAAACAAATGTCTGAGATTTTACAAAATTAGACCTAGATAATCTATTATGAATTTTTTTTGTAATTTTAAACTTGATACTATTACTTAAAATTATCAGTGGCCAGTTGCAAATAATACATTAAAAACATTTCTAACTTATTTTTACCAACTCTATTTTTAAGATATATAAATTTTGACCAACTTAAATTTACATCTATCAAATAAAGTGTCTGAAATATTTATTCTTGGAAAGTTTTAATTGTTTCCATATTTTTCATTGTCAGATGAAAAGGAAAAAAATGTTTCATTTTATTATAAAAGATTCTTATCTCTTATTCTGCATTATCCGTATCCAAATCTGGATTATCAACAAATAATTCTAGTTCTGGTTATGACAATAAACTACATCTGGCAACAAGGCTTCTGATTGAGAGATTGGAGGTTTTAAGGATTATGGAACCATCTCTTAGTTACTGAGCAGTTAGTGCACCTTCAAACAAAAACAAAATACTATGGAAGTGTAAAAATATATTTTTATAATAAAACTACCAGCAATACATATTTACAGTGTGCGATGGATAAATTGTCTAAATTTACCAAAATTACACAAAAATATCTTGAAATACTAAAGAATAAATTTATTGAATAAAATCGCCATTGGCCTCAACCACAGCCTCTAAATGACTAAATCTTGCAACTCTTCAGGATGTTCTCCTTGTTTAAGTGAATGATGCCATAATCCTTGCCTTCCGTTCATCTTTGGTGTTACAAGGAGTTTTGTTGGTCTCTTTCTCAAATGCGCCCTACATGTAATAATCAAAAGGATTGCAGTCTGTGGAATTAGGTGGCCATATGTAAAGACATAGAAATTGTCTGACTGCCTTGACTGTGTTCTCCTGCTTGTGTGACATGGTGAAGAGTCCTGTTGACATACATAGGGTCTTCCAGCAGCCACCCTTTTGATTCAGGGCAGCACTTCCGCCTCAAGACACTTGATGCAGGCCTCTGTATTGAGTCCGAGACTCTGTGGGAAGATGAATGGAGACATCATGTCACCATCACTAGGGATCACCTTCATAATCACCATTAGACTCATCCAACTCTTTCTGAATCCTCTGCACTGTCCTCAGATTGACACCCATTGGAGCTTCCAGCATGAATGCCAAGCAGTACAGTATGCTATTTCCAAATTTCTGGCAGAGTGAATTGTGTCATTGTGCTTTTTTTCTCACAGATGGTGCCCAACTTAACCTACTATACTCTATAGTCAGCAAAATCAAAAACAAATAATGCATATGTGAGAAATTAAAAATATAAAATGCTGACAATTTACCCATCACACTGTGTATATGAAAAAATACCAACAATACATATTTATAGTAAAGTTAACAACAATACCATTTTAAAGCAAAAGAAGCAGCCACACATTTTATTTGTAGTTGAAGGCATATAGTTGCATTCAAAATATACTAGTTGAAGCCATAAAATTGTGTTCAAAATATTTCAATTAAATATCACCATAAGGATTTGATATGCTGTTAAACAAACAGTTCTTATGTAAGATTTAAAAGTACCTGAAACACTTTTTTTTAACTAATTACTAAATGACATTTCCTTTCTCTGGATTCGTATATATCAACTTGTATGTATAGAAACCTATAAATACTTGCTGACATCCCCTCCAAAAATCTGAATGCACATAAGAATAACAAATGTTAAGTTATGCATGTGTTAAGAATGATAAGATGAAGACAGATTATGATCCAAGTGTATCTTTATTTACTATGCCATTACAATATATCTAGGTCAACGTACCCAAGGGCTTGAACTCTCTTTCTATTTGTCTACATGCAACATCTTACCCCTCTTGTTTTTTTTTAAATTTATTTATTTATTTTTTATCATGGAGGAAAGAAAAGAAGAAAAGTGAAAAAAAAATATATAATTATAAAACTTGGGTGTGTTTCCACCCTGAACAACAGATCCTTTGTTTCTTCATTTCTGTATCATGCTGGCTTGTGAACTTTTCTTCCTGAGTGTATCCATAATTGGGTTATGGCTGTTTCTGGCTCCTGCACAGTCACCTCTGTCACAGGATCATTTGCCTCTCTAAGTATCGTAGGGACTTCCTCTGTGGAAGGTCAAATGTCAGTTGCTGGATGGCTATTGATGAATGAGTGCATAGATGGAGTTACTGGACTTGGACTGTATCACCTGTCTAAGGTTTTTAAATTCATTGCCCAAGTCCTGGTATCTTGCCTTCTCTTTTCTTTGTTGGCTACTTCATTAGCAGAGTATGAGTGTTTATAGAGTGGTCATAGCTGGATTTCTGTTGCTGGGAACAATGCCTTAGTTGTTCTACCAAATAGCTTCTGTTGGTAAAGTCCACAAGTTTAGTAGTCCTATGAGGGGATCCTTTACTGAATCTCTGCACTTGTGCACAACCACTTAAGAACTTTGACTGCTGCCTCTTCTGTTCCATTAGCTTGGCTGTTACTTGGTGATATGGTTTCATGTTGAAGCATCCCTACCTTTACAAATTTCTTGAAATGGTAGGATGTGAACTGGGTTCCGTTGTCAGAGACCACTACCTCAGGTATGCCATAGTGTGCAAAATGGCTCTTAAGACACTCAGTCACTGCATCTGATGTTGGTTCAATTAAATGATCAATGAAGTTGCTGTGACTGTCCACAGTGATTGAATATTTCTTTCCACCCCACATTATATGATCAATTGACACTTTTTGCCAGGGTCTTTCTGGAATGACAGTGACTACCTGGGGTTCTGCTGGCTGGCGATCTGAGAATGTTGCACATGTAGCACAAGGCTTCACATACTGTCTAATCT